CAGTACTCCTACATTATTTAAAACTTAGGAAAAAATTGAAAAGATAACCTACTGAATGGGAGAAAACAATTGCACACTCTACATGAAATTAAAGGCTAATATCCGAGACATATTAGGTACCCACAAAGTTCAACAAAAACAAACAACAAAACCCCAATAACCTCATTAAAAATGGGAAGAGGAGATGAACAGACTTTGTATATCAAAACTATAAATATTAACACTGTTGGAACTATGTCACAATAAAATAAACATGACTGTTTTCAAATTAAAAATTATATATTTGAGACATCTGAAACATAGTAAGGGGACAAGAAGTGGCCAAAGGCCACAGGACTGCGGTTAGTGCAGGGAACTGAGCTTGTCTGGGGGGAGAGGTAGGGTCTTTGTGTGAGGTTGGAGCGGAGCTAAAACAGTTTTAGCGGAGCTAAAACTTTAAGACCAAAATAAGCAGTAGACCTAAGTTTCATTTTCCCCTTCCCTCTCCCCAAAGAATTCCCTGAGGCTGTCCTTGGAAGCTGGAAATCCCCTCCATGCCTCTAGTCAGTCCTTGTGGTAAGTAGGATCTCTCTGGGCACAACAGGTGGGCATGACCAATTAGCTTCACAGACTTGGGGATTCTTCTTGGAAATTCTTGGGGAAACTGCCAACTTAGCTTATATAACTATATGCCATAGAATGTTTCCTGGAACTTGAGTTAAGGTCCTTGTCAAGACTCTACTGTGTTGGATGAGACTTGGACCCTATCTTCAGCTAGCAATAAAGGGTGTCTTGCATTTGCATCCTCCAGTCTGGTCTGGTCAATGTGTGAGTGAAATTCCCTTCCCAGGACATGACATTTGGGACCCTGGTGGAGGGAAATGGACCCCCAGTGGAAGGCGTGGTGTTGGAACACAACATATGCGTGAATTATCAATTATTGTAAATCTTAGTATCTCAGTACAAATTGGGTCCGTGGGAGAATTACACATGCAAATCCCACACAAGGACTCAGCCAAGTGCCCATCACAAACGACCAGGAACAGAAGTTGTGGTCCATGGAATGTCACTCTTTAACTGGTTTTGAAAGATGAACTGAGGCCGGAGAGACAGCACAGTAGGTAGGGCACTTACCTTGCACAGGGCTGACCTGGGCTCAATCTCTGGCACCCTATCTGGTCCCCAGAGCCACACCAAGAGTCATCTTGACCACAGAGCCAGGAGAGCACAACCATGTGTGGCCCATAAGTCAAAGGGAGGAAAAATGATGAAATCTTGTCCTTAGGGACAAAATGATTGGGCTTGGAAGGGATGAGCTAAGCAAAATGAGGAAGTGAAGAGAGGTCGTAGATGGTTTCGAGACCCTACGTGGAACTGGCAAAATAATTAACTGCCGGAACTTACTCCTAAACCCAGTGCAAACTACAGAGGGGAAAGGAGCGGATGGGGGCGGGTCAGAAAGGGTTGGAGCGGGGGTGGGAGGGCCTGGGACCCCTGAGACAGAGTCTTGAAGACGCACCCCTTAAATTCCACGAGATTCCACATCGGAGAGAAACCAATGACAAAACTTTAGGAGACGTGCAGGGCTAGGGCTGATGATGAGCGCTGCCCAGTTTCCGGACCTGAAGACCTCGAGTCCAGGTTCTAGGGTGCAGGTCCAAGGTTCTGCTCAGGATCTGCAGGCCGATCTGGTCAAGCCCCCCGGCGCGCATTCCTGGGAAATTCCTGGAAAACGTGTGCCCAAAGTGGGCGGTCCGGGGAGGGAAATCGAAACTTAGAATTTCCCGATGTTTTCCTAAGTCAAGGCTTCCTTCTCATCCTCACGCCTGTGTCCGGGCTCAGCGCCATCTGGGGGGGCGTGCAGAAGGAGTGCAAGCCGGGGTGCAGGCCCCCAGACTTTCTGGGGCCGGGAAGCAGGAAAACACCGGGAAGGGGAACCCCTGGACGATGAATCAGCTCTGCCTAGTATCTGGCTGATGCTGGGATGGGGGAAATCCGAATGGAAGCCCGGGCTGCCGTCTCCAGGAGCCCAGTGGGCATTGGGTGCTGAGACCCTTCCTGGCCCCTGGGATGGGGGGCGGAGGTAGAGGGGTTCGCGCCGCTGCCATTCACCACATGCCCTGCAGGAGGCGCTGCGACCCGCCCCTCCGCTCTGCAGTCCCTCGGATTCGCGGGAAACCCTGGAATGTTTTCTTTCCAGGATTCCTTATGCAAACGTTTCCCTAAAGCCTGATGGAAAGAGCCCCCACTGTTTCACACAGGGCTGCGCCTTCTAGAATTCAAGAGTCTAGCTGGGGGCGAGGCCCCGGAGGTCCCCGGATGGTCCCCGTGGGTCCCTTCCTCTGTGCCTCTGCAGAGCTGCCCCGGGAGGCAGCGGGGTTCAGGGCTGTTGCCTGGGTCCGTCTGGGGAGGAGGAGGAGAGACCCAGCTTTGGGGGGCTCACAGACACCAGAGTCACTGTCAAGGGGCCGGCACTCAGGCTGTGTCCCCGTTTATAGTGACCGCAGGTGCCCAGGGCTCTGCATGGAGCTGGCTGGCGGGGCTTGCTCAGGTACTAGAACAAACAGCCCCTCTGGGGTTCACCATCCAGCTGTTGGAGAGGGGGACATCCAGGCGCTGTTGTCCAAACCCGCACCCATGGGTGAGAACAGGGTGCAGGACATGGAGTTGGGGACAGAGCAGGCAGCCCTGGCCACCCAGCCTGCAAGCCAAGTTCCAAGGTCTCCCTCACGGTGTGGGGTTCTGGTCCAGAAAGCCACTGTGAATGAGGGGGATCCTGGAGGTCACCTGCTCCCTAAAATCCAGTTCTACAGCTCACTAGCACCCTATGGGGAGAAGAGGAACCCAGCCAAGCTGGTCTGCTCTCAGGAAGTATTGGGGCAAAGTCCCTTGGGGGGGGAGACTTCCCAAGTGAGGGCAAGGGAGTATGATCATCACTCCAGCCCCTCCACTATTCCCTTTAGTATGGCAGGTAAGGGGCTTGCCTTGCAGGGGACTCACCTGGATTTGATCCCCAGGCCCCTGCTGGTCTCTAGAGCCCCATCAGGAGTGATCCCTGAGCACAGAGCCAGAAGGAAACCCTGAGCACCACTAGGTGTGGACCTCACACACACACCAAAACAAAAGGAATGGTGATTTGATTCTTTTTTTCAAGAGCATGGGACAGTTTCCATCTGGTGAAAAATTTTCTCTTTCAATTTTCCTGCAATGGCAGCCGGATGGGGTTGAAGGGTGTTGTAATCCCACACAGGGCCACAAGAGGGGAGCCAAGTTCAAGGTGACAGGCGCGTGCAGCCTCGGACTCTTCCTTGCTGGTTTCCATCTCTGGCTGGGGTCTGGGGCCTGTGAGAGAAGCACAAGGTGCTCTCAGGGGTGCAGGGTGCTGTCCAGCAGCGGGCCTGATAGAGGGAAATCGGGTTTGTTCAGATGCAAGTGTGAGTGTGGGGCCACCACACACCCTTATGAGCCCAGGCTGTGTCTGAAGGGCTATAGGGTAAAGGTGGACATCGGGGACACGGCCCCCTCCCTCTTCAGCTGTACAGGACTGTGGGTATTCCCAGGGTCCTTCTCACAGTGCTTCCCCAGTGCTCCCCTCTCCACACTCCCAGCTCTTACCTCTTCATCCCTTTGACTCATCTTTCCCGGGGACTCACCCCCTTCCCTGCAGATTTCATCCTATTTCTGTCTCCAGCAATTCTGTCTCTGCTTCCTCACTGACCTGGGCGTCTTTGCAGTCCTGTGGGAGACTGCAGGGGAAGGGCGGCTGCAGGGTCGTGGGGAGCATGCAGGCTGCAGTGGAGAAGCAGGGAGGCTGCAGAGGGTGTTGCATGCATATTTTTTCGGTCGGAGTCACAGACACAAGACACTCGAGAGGAATGTAGAGTACACGGAGGGCCAAGGCATCGATCTGGCTCTATCAAAGAGCAACTGCCAGAGGTCTCCTTTTATTGTTTTTCATCAGTTACATCCTAATGACTGCATCACAGAGGAAGAGTCACTAGCGAGAGTACAAACAGTTACAGGATGAGCATTTGTCAAAAGAACATCAGGGCATGCATTGTCTTGTCAAAGCTATGTTGTCATGATTAAAATGTCAGAGGAAGATCTGGAGCTGGACATATAGACTCTACAAATTAGGTCCCCCACATTCTTGTGTTTGGTTGTACATAGGGCAAAGAGAAGGCTCATACTGATACTTGAAGGGCAACACAGACTAAGGATGTGTAAGGCGGTGGGGGGAACTGCTGCCTTGTACTGCCAAGATGATGTATGACCAGGCAGGTGTATGAGAGCATGCTGTACTTCTCCAGGTCATCTGGACTCACAATTTTTGGCTTGCCACTTAATGGAAAAGTGAAGACTCGGTCCTGCTTCCTGCTTGCAGGGCAGCGTCCAGAGGCTGGTCCTGATGTCCTGGCTTAGCACCAACAAGAGGGAAAGCAGGGGGAGCTGCAGGGTGGTGGGGAGCAGGGAGGGTACAGGGGACAGCAGGGCTGAATCAGGGAGGCTGCAGGGGAGAAGCAGGGAAGCTTCAGGGGAGAAGTGGAGAGGTTGCAGAGGAGAAGCAGGGGGACTGCAGGGGGACTGCAGGGGGACTGCAGGGGTCGGGGGCAGCAAGGGGGGGGGGCAGCAAGGGACAGGTGGGGAGCTGTCACCTGCCATCCTGGTCCAGCTGGGCGGCAGCCAGTGGCCCCCGGGCCTGCACACCTCTCCCCACCCCCACCCCCCACCCCCAGCACCCTGCCCCGCAGCAGGCTGAGTTCTGTCCCTCACAGTCACACTCACGTCCAGTTTCCCCTCCCCTGCTCGAGCCGGGCCAGGGCCGGGTGGGGGGGTGGGGGGCGAGCCAGGGGTCCACCGCAGCCCACCAAGGACCGAGGACCGCGGCGCCCCGAGGCCCCTTCCTGCCACCCGCCCCGTCGGGCTGTCCCGGGGCGGGGCCCCGCGCACCCCGCGCGCGCCGCTTTCGCTTCCCTTTTCCCCGGCGGGGCGGGGACTTGGGTGCGCGGACAACTCGGTCTTCCTGCTCGGGCCGGATCGATCTGGGGTGGACGCGGCGGGCACCGGCACCCCCAGACCCGAGGCGCGCAGATGGACGGGGCCGACGGCCAGCTCAGCACCAGGTGAGCGTCTCCGCCGCCCACTTCGCCCCGGGCCCCGCGGGTCCCCGCCAGCCCGCGGAGATGGAGCGCCCCGGGGACCCCCCAAAACCCCCGCGCCCCGCGGCCCCTGGGGCCGACCCCCGAGGAGGGGGTTGCGGGTGACCTCGATGCCCCCCGCCGCCGCCGCCGGCCTCCCCTCCCCAGCAAAGCTCCAGGGCGCGCGTGAGTTTCCCTCCAGGCCCTTGCGGGCGGGGGTCCCGCACCTGGGCGCGTGGGGGCTGGGGGTGTCCCGCACCTGGGCCGCCTTGGGGTCCGCTTTCCTGCGGGGCGGCGTCGCACGGGTCCGATTTGGGGCGAGGCTGGGACGGGCCCCAGAGGAAGGCCTGGGGCAGCTGGGACTTTCGGTTTTGGTGTTTGGGTGGGTCGGGCGTTTTCTGACTCCGCTGTATTTGCTCTTTTTTTTCCGCTGTCCTTTGCTCTGTGCTGGGTCGCGACGCGCTCGACTTCTGTCTTTCCTGGTTTTCCTGAATTTAGGGCTATCCAGCGGACGCAGCCCGGATTTCTAGTTCAGATCGTTTTTCTAGCAGAGTCTGGGCCTGAGGTATCTAGAGTAAAGGACTTGTCGCTGATCTGAGGCCTGCAGTGGCCCCTGGACCCGCCGGGGCCCTCTGCGGCCTTCTGGGCATCACTCCTGTTCTTACAAAAAGTGAGATGAAGGCGAAGTTTTAGAAGGGGTCAGATCCAGTTGGGTCTCTCGCACCTGTGGGGTGTAGAGGACAGAGGAAGGGAATAGCACACGGCCCAGGGTGACGGAATCTGAGAGTTGGGCTAAGGACCCGGGCCTTGGTGGAGGGGGGTGGTTGGTTGAGGGGTTACACTCCAGTAATGGGTACCAGCGTTGGAGCCCGGTATTATGAGACCTTACAATTAACAGTATGTAAATCACAGTGTCTATTTTTTTTAAAGTGGGGTGATGAATTCCATTAGCCTTTAAAGCAATATAAAATAAACTATTTTGCGCCTGCGATGAGGGCGGGTTTGAGGGGTGTTTGGGAAAAGGGGGATCATGGTGGAAGGTGACCATGGTGGTGGGATTGGGGTTGGAAGGGTAAATGCTTGCAGCAAATGCATTATGAACAATTTTATAAACCACGGTGTTTGAATAAGTGAGGGGGGAGTGGGATGATACGATAACGGAATTTTGCCTTTTCACTTATTATTGAAAACCTTATGGATGGTTTTATAAGTGTATAGATCCACCTCATTCTTTTTCACCCGTATGCTTCTCCATACTTGAAGTACCCTCTTTGCAAATCGTGGTCCCCACACTGTCAATTTCTGGCTCCTTTTCAACTCTAACTGTTCCCTTTTAACTGTGAGAACAGGTAAATCTTCTTTCCTTTTTTCCTTTGAGTTACATCATTTGTAACCCCAAAAGTGGTTGTGGAATCAAAGTCAAGTAACCCTGGCTTGTTTTCAGATCCTGCCAACTTGTCTTTCTAAGTAGCGGAAGAGTTAGAAAAATAAACACTTAAAACCACAACACCCAATAAGAGAGAGAGGTAAAGGTAAAAAGGTAAAGGCCCTCCTGTTGTTCATCGATTTGCTCGAGCGGGCCCAGTAACGTCTCCATTGGAGACTTGGTTGTTACTGTGTTTGGCATATCAAATATGTCACGGGGAGCTTGCCAGGCTCTGCCGTGCGGGTGAGATACTCTCGGTAGCTTGCCGGGCTCTTCGAGAACAAAAGGAAATGCCTTGCTACGGAGGCAGGGTAGGATGGGGGTGATGGGGGGTGGGAGGGATACTGGGATCCGTGGTGGTGGGAAATAGGCACTGGTGGAGGGATGGGTATTTGATCATTGTATAATTAAAACACAAACACACAAATCTGTAAGTCTACAACTGTACCTCATGATGTCTCGCTAATAAAAATTAAAAGAAAATGTTTTTATCTGGGGACTGGAGTGATTGTACAGGGGGTGAGAGGTTTGCCTTGCGCACAACCAACTGGGGTTCAATCCCCAGCATCCCATATGGGCCAGGAATGATCCCTGAGCACAGAGCCAGGAATAAGCCCTGAGCACAACTGGAGGTGGTCCCAAAATCGAAACAAAACAAAAATCTTATTGATTGAGATTCTGTGGCTTACAATAATGCTGTTAATAATGGTTTCTCTCACACGTAATTCCAATTGCGTACGATTTGCAGCAGCACGGATGGAACTCGAGGAGATCATGCGGAGGGTCAGTCAGAAGGAAAGAAACAGATGCTCTGATATGTGGGGCTTAGAGGAACAAGGCAAGGCAAAGGGCCACAGGCAACGTAACCGATCCACACAGCTGAGTGGCATTGAGAGACTGGTGAGAGAGTAGTTCTTTTAAAGAAATGCTTTTATTTTTTTAGTTTTAGGGCTACAGCCAGTTGTGATCAGGGATCACTCCTGGCTCTGCTCAGGGTATGATGCTGGGGATTGAACCCAGGTCAGCTGCTTGCAAGGCAAGCGCCTTACCACCATACTAACTCTCAGGCTGCAGTAGTGGAACCAGTATCTTCACCACTAGTAATTGAGATGGCTTCCTCAACTGCCCGGACCCCAGCTTTTCAAGGACAGTGGACAAGCAGGTGCATCTTGTTAATTTTCATCTTTTGGTTACATGGAAGGTGGAATGAGTTCTCATGTTCACAGACCATTTAAATTGATACTTTTTTTTTTTTTGCTTGAATCTGGGGCCAGTCCCAGTGGTGCTCAGGGCTTACTCCTGGCTCTTCACTCAAGGATCACTCCTGGTGGGGCTTGGGAAACTGAGTGGGGGTACTGTGGATAAAAACGGGTGCAAAGCAAACATCCTACCTGCTGAACTCTCTCCCCAGTCATTTAAATTGCTACTTCTCGGAAATGCTGGTTTCTTTCCTGCCCGTGTTATTTAGTAGAAGTGACTGTTAACAGTAAGAAGAGTTTGCTAAATATTTTGAAACCTATAAATGTGTATAAATAAATGTATCTCTCATTTTTTTCCTTTTTGGGTCACACCCAGCGATGTTCAGGGGTTACTCCTGGCTCATGCACTCAGGAATTACTCCTGGTGGTGCTTGGGGAACCATATGGGTTGCTGGGAATCGAACCCGGGTTGGCTGCGTGCAAGGCAAACACCCTACTCGCTGTGCTATCACTCCAGCCCCAAGTATCTCTCATTTTTTAAGGTGGGGGGGGGGGTGGAGCTGGGCTACACTGGGCTGTGCTCAGGGCTGACTCCTGGCTCTGTGTTCAGTGTTCAGGGGACCATACAGGGTGCCAGGAGTGGTACCAGGGTCAGCTGTGTGCAAAGCAAACTTCTTAACTCCTTTGTATCTCTCTGGCCCCCTTTGCACTTAATCTTTTAACTTTGCTACAATGATTGGACCTTCTTTTTTGTTTGTTTGGGTTTTGGTGTGGTTTTGGTTTGATTTGGAGACCATACCCAGCCACACTTGGGACTTACTCCTGGCTCTGTGATCAGGGATCATTCCTGGCAGGCTCAGGGGACCATATGGGGTCCCCGGGATCGAGCCCTGGTCAGCCACATGCAAGGCAAACGTCCTCCCCACTGTCCCATTGGTCGAACCCTGACAGGCCAGGATTTGCCTACGCGCATGCTCAGGGTGTTGGTCCTGGGTCCATGCCCTGGCTCCCGGGCTCTATGTCCTGGTTTGTCCAGAGCTCTTGGGTTCTTAGGGTAGCAGATTCAACCCAACCTTCCCAGCAGAGAAGTTTTCTTTCCTAATATGAAAATGGTTCCTTTTCCAATTGGGGGAGGGGGCAAAATTCTCATCCTGAGCCTTTTCAGCATAGATGTGCCCTGAATATTTTGAATATTTCCACCTTCCGTTTGCACTTGGTTCATCATGGTGGTCTCAAACTTTCCTGCCATGATAAGGTTTAGTTTTCAAGCGCCCTTGTTTCTTGTTCTTTCTAATTGGACAGAATCTCCTTGACTGGGTTTGTTTGGGGAGGAGTCTTGATCTCTGTGGCATTCTGAGCTCCAGAGAAATTGGGGTTTTGTCGCTTTCACTCACCCTTCTCCACACTCTCACTCTGGCTTCATTGACTCGCCGAGACCCTTGTGGGGTGCTGCATGGGGGCTGTCCCCCCTCCTGTCTGCAGTGAGGGACATTTTTGTGCTGCCTTTCAGGCGTTTGCTCTCACCTGCCATGGTTTGACCTCATTCCACTAAGGCCCAACTTGGGGTCAACCCCCTCATATCTCATACACACAAATCACTTTTTCTCCCGAGATACAGAGTGTCAGATGCACACCCCCCTTAAACACACACACACACACACACACACACACACACACACACACACACACTGCCCTCCACTTCCAGCACTGCACACGTGTTCATCTTGTTCCCTTTTCTTTGCATTTTCTCTCTGATGTGTTGTCCTTTGACCAAAAAGATTGGGGGCAGTTTCATGGGTAATTTGAGGGCTCCACAGAGCAAGGAAACCAGCCTTTCCTCACCAATCTGCAGGGTTTTCGTTTCTGCAGTGTGGCTGTCCCACATTCCCCCCATTGAGGCCACCAGCCACGACTTCCCTTCTGGTGTTGGAGTCAACATTTTCTTTCTGGAGGTCAAAGTACATTGTTTGTCCCTAGACCCTTTCCAGCGAACCACTCAGTTAGGTTGACCACACTCACACACCACACTTACCTCTTCATATTGCAAAGCTGGACTTTGATGCCCCGATGTGGATAGGAACCTTTGAAGAGGGACCCAGCTCATTGGTCAGTGAAATCCAGGCTGTGTGTGAAGAGTCTGTCCTTCGGATTAAGGGAGGGTGTGGGGTGTAGACAGAGCCGAGTTCTTTTCTCTCCATCTCCTGGCTGGGCACTGGATGTTCCCTTTATGCCTTTATGTAAGGCCAGCATCTGGTCCCACAAGTCTCCCTGTTCTCTTTATTTATCTTGGCTCTTTGCATCTGCCAACCATCTTGCCAAAAGCGTGTTGAGGGCAGGGGAGAACGATCAAAGGGCTAGTG